AAATCTGGTAAGATGGCATGCAGAAATTATAAAATTAAAAATATGAAACAGTAATTTATGAAATAAAGAACAATTATGATCTAAAGAGTATCAAAATTACAAAAAAAAAAAAAAAAAAAAAAAAAAAAGCTTAATATTTATTTGTTTTACTTTATTAAACATTTCTTTCAATGTAAGTTGTTTAAGTTGCTTTGTTTTATGTGATAATACTTTCTCTTTAATTCTATAAACAGACATAATTTCTTCTTCAGTTACAAAGTTCTGCTGTTTAAGTCCTATAATTGCTGTGTCGAGAATACCGACTAATCTGTCAATCGAAACTATTTCGTTTTCAATAACCTCTGTGTCACTTTCTTCACTATCGGAAGAGAATTATAATGATGAGGAATTTGATTTACATCATATCAAAGACGGAGTACATTGAGATGAAATACTACATTTAGTAAGGAATTATAAGCCAAATAAAAACATTTGCCCTGAAGATAAGGATAGTGCTGACAGATAAACTTTTAATTCTTGTGTGCCCCCCCCCCCCCCGCAGAGCAGCGTAAAATTGATAAACAGATTTCGGAATGGTTAGAGAAACGAAGGATATGCCTTTATCCATTTTTTGCAGCAATTCCACTTTTTGTTTAATGGACTTCGAAACATACTTTCGCCTTGTAGTACATATTAGTTAATATATATTGGAAATTCTATTTGACATAATCGAAAGTTCAAGCTTACTTTTATAAAATTGCTCTAGCAGTCTGCAAAAAATAATAAGCCGGATCCAATTCGAAGATTAAGGGACAACGCAATCTGCAACATTAACTGAGTTAGATAATTTTAGCTTAGCTTATACCGTCCGTTATACATTAAACGCGCGTGCGTAAACATATTATGCGCATGCGCAGAAAGTTTGTAGCTTTGAGGTCCAGATTATAGATCATTCCGGGTTATGGGTGTCCGAATTAACGACTTTTGACTGTATTCTCTGCCGTTAATATTGATAAAATAAACTGGTTTTGTGGAGTTGAAGATATGTTTCGGCTTGTATATTTTTACGACTTCTTTTAGTTTTCGATCTTCCCAAATGACACAGTCATCTCCACAAACATCTTTGCTTTCGTCACATTATGATTTTTGAAACTACTCTATTTTATTAATTTTTTTAAATTTTTTAAATTTCTCCAGCCACCCATTACTTGCATAAAATTCACTCTGTCCTATAGCTCAAGCAAACTCTGTATGTTTTTTCAGTAGCCCTGATACCAGCATATTTCTTTTTCTTCACCTGTGTGCAGCTATTTTAATGTTGCTTCTTCAATGTTTTCATAAAATTTTCTTATGTTTGGCGTTTGGATTGGTGGAATCAAAGCTTGACAAATTTTGTTCCAATTTTTCAGGATTGTCAATAAACTAATTTGCAAAATACCGAATGTTATGGCAAAGTCTTTCTTGTTTACATCTTTGTCCACTTTGTCAAGAATCAGCATTTTTCAGTGTTAATCGCTTATGTTTCGACATTTTTATTATTTAACACAAAACGAACTTTAAAAAGGATTTGCAACATTAAACCATGAAAAGCAGAAATAAAAATAATATGCAGCTTTTGCTTAACTTTAAATTGGTTAGCAAAACAGGATTGGCTGGGGAATTTTTAAATAGGGTGGATAAATTCTTTCTGAGACTTTCCCTCCCCCACATCATCCCTTACATAGAATAGAATGTGACAACAGATAACAAACCACCACCTTTTTTTATGGGGTAATTACAGCTGCATGCACCTATGTGGCATATCAAATGAATAAATAAAGTAAAAAGTCTTGAAAAATCATCCAATGAAAAACTGTATAGAGAGTGTTGGAGTATTTTTTATAAAGGGAAATTCACACCTCGGGCAGGATTCCACAAAAAACTTTGCTAAATAGAGGAATTTTTAAAATACAGTTTGACTGTAAAATTAATCCTTGTAAAATCTTTAAAAAGACATTTAACTTTGTACGGTAGTTTTAAAATAATTATTCAAAAATTCAGTTTTTTAAAAGAAAGCTAGTTGTAAACCACAATATAATGAGTAAATATACAAAATGATATTTACTGTAATGAAAATATACATTCCCTGCATATCAACAAATACTCGAAATTCCCCCCCCCACACACACACACGGAGAAGCATCTAGCAGTTTTGTCACTAACCCTTCATTTTCTATAGTTACTAACATAGTTAGACCCTCCAGTCATAATAGATTTACAATAGTTACAGTTATTAATTTTTATTTCTTAAAAAATATTCAATAATAAAGCACTATACAGCAGTTATTATTTATGATACTGGCTCTACAATGATTAGTATAATTATACATTAGAAGCTACGTTTTGTAGTAACAAAGCAAAATATTTATGTTTTTAATTTCAAAATATTCCAGATATTTCAGCTAATTCACATTAATTTCCTTCTCCTTAGCATCTTTTCTAAGTTTATTTGTTTCAATAAGCAAATAAATATTCACACTAGTCTCTGCTTCCTCTCCTAATCTGTAAATGTTTGGACAATGTACCTTTGAAGAATAAGTTTCTCTCTCTCTCTCTTTATAAAATCGGTTTCCGAGTTTCCTCTTCATTTAAGGACTTTCAGATTTAATTAAAGATTTCTATTATTCTAAATAACTACTTGTACTTGAAAAGTATAGAAGAAACTGCTAATTTTATTTCCTTAATAACATGAGAACTGAGAATAAAAATGAAATGATTTAAGATCACAGCCAGTGTGGTAGAATTTTGTGAAGCACTAAGCAACAAAGTTTAGGGATGGCAAAATTTTTAGAATTTAGGGCAGGCACTGAGGTATGTATATATATATATGGTGGGCCAGACATACAAGATGAATATTTAAACAAATTGTTGGCTTTCAGTTTCTTTGCCTCGATGCTTATGCCTTCTGGAAAGGTAAGAAAACAAACATTAAAAAAAAAAGCAATCAAAAGGAAAAACTCAAACAATTTTGTGTTTTGTAAAACCAATTTTCAAGAGTATACTGATACATATTTAAATATTCTGAAATAATTACATCAGAAAAAATTTTTATCTTGAAAAAATATGAAAGAAACAAATAAAATTGATTTAAAATAATTACAGAAGCTTTTTCTGTTCTTTTCTAAGAAGTGTTTTGGAAACTGTGTTTTATAGCATTTATTAACTTTATTTTATCAGAATCAAAATATTCAAGGTCCCAAAAATAGAAAGCAGTGTCACCTTAAAATATGGCAGGAGAAAATAAAAATGTTTTATTTCACTGCTATTTCTTAAGTATAATCTTAATATATTACTACTATTTTTAACATTCATGAATGTTATATCGTTTACAAAAAAATAATGAAAATCTCTGAATAAAAAATTTTGTATACAAATTAATCCTGAAATTGCCAGGTAAGTCGCCAAATTTAGTACTGTAATAAAAGAACTCAGATCGCCAAAAGGAAAACGTCGTTTTTGATTTAATATTTTCTGAACTCTTCATTTGCAAAAAAAGAATTATTTCAAAATGTTTCATATTTCAATTAAGGCACGGTGTCGTGCGTAGAACTCGAATATCCACCATTTATACTAAGTAGAAAAGAATTCATTAGAAATTGGCAGTTGTAAAGAACAGACAGAAAGTACAAATAAAGATCTTTTGGCTGAAATTAAGCACTTTTAAGAACCAAAAGTCATTTCTAAAAAACGTATAGACTTTTAAGGACTACACGAACCCCGATTTTATGCACATGATGAAAAAAAATAATAATAATAATGTATAAAAGAAAGAGAACTGGTTGTCGTTATTTATTCTCAAGTTTTACCCCACTGCAAAAGTTTTCAAGCTTATGTTAAAAATAAATTATCTAATCGTTTATTTGAAATACACATCAATCTAAAAATTTTATATTTCAGTCAGTACCTTTGAACTACAAAATGTAGCCAACAGATATTTTATGCAGTAATTTTCTTTATGATAGAAAATTATTACAAATTTGATTTTTTTTTACTGCATTATTATTATAGTTATTTATCCATGTTTTGGAAAATATTTAGTTATTCAGTGAAATTAAGTTGAAATTTAGTTTTATTTTGTTAAAAAAAATTGCAGCCCATTAGCTGCTTTCAAGTTTTGTATTCAATCTGCATGGAGTCGTTAAGAGTTTGAGATTACTACCTTACATAACACTAATGAAAATATAACACAATTTTTCTTTCCCTTTCTAAACAATGTACATAGACTTTTGTGACATGCTTAAACAGTACTTTGTTTCTGAATTATTTCATTTTTGAATAATGGTTGATAAAAATTTTGTATGAGGTGTATTTCTTTTTACTTACAAATTATATTCTATATGTTATCGTGTCTTTAATACTGGATTTTTGCATAATGAATATGGACTTCCATCACTCGCTGTAAGTTATTGAATATATGATTAAAGGGGAGTGAAAATATGCCATAAAATGCACTGAAATATCAAAAGCCATACTATGCTCTTTGAATGAGTACAATAACCTAATTTCATCTGATAATAACAAAGATTCGTACTTTTTCAAAACGAAAGTTAAAGATGTCCACTAAAGGCTAAAATTAAATGCGAAATAGGAAAGCTAGGCACAAATTTTTTCACAAGGCTTCTCCCTACATAAGAAATTAAAGAAACATAAAAAAATAAGCAATGTGACAGCAAAATAACAAATATGTAATATTACTATAAAATAGTAAAATGGAACAGGGCAGAATATTGTAAGTTACTTATATTTTGTTTTCCTTTTAATGTTTGTTTTCTTGATCTACATACATCTCATGTATCATCATGAGATGTATCATCATATCCTTTCTTCCTCAATAGTTTAAACTGAGGTGTTTTTTTTAATAAGAGGAAGTAGGAAATTACCTGTAATGACATTTTAATTTTCTCATTAAAAAAGAACATATAAATATTACTGCATAGTCTCAATATTTCTTTATAATAGAGATAAAATCTATATTGCATTACCACAATCGCAAGAAATGGATCTTGAAATGCCTGGTTTATCATTTCAGTATTAACATCAATTCCTGACAGCCAACAACCATAACCAGGATGGCTGTGGTACCATCCAATAACGTTTTCTAAGCGATTAACCTGAATAATTAAATAAAATAAATAAACATTAAATGCATAATAAGCATTGTGAAAATGTATGCAACAGTAAAAAAAGCATTACATTAATATTTTAGATTCCAACATTTAATTTTTAAATTATAGGAATTTACTAATTAGAAGAAAAATGAAGATCAGCTCTAAATGAAAATAAAACCTTTTTCATCATTTATTAGAGAACTGAATAGCTAAAGCCATATAACACTGGTAAGCTGTCATCATTCAGATTTTCGTAATTGAGCCTTTTTCTCCATTTTCAATTGAAATGCAGAGCAATCTTTCCAAGAACGCTTTCTATGCTGGTATCTGTTTTTAAGCAAATAGCCTTTACACAAACAAACCTTTTTTAGCCTTTACATAAACTTGTTACATAACTTGTAAGCTATTTTATATAAATTAATCACATTTTATTATATGTATCTTTACCGTACTTGCTCCTTTTCATTAGCCCTCACCAGAATGAAAATAATTATGGCAAGAGTTTTGAATGTTTTAGATACAGAACATCTGGCAGCAATGCTTGCAGTCTTATTTTCTATTACCCAGCTTTGCCAGTTAATATTCTGACATTAGCTGTTTGCTAGCCAAAGTTTATTAGTGCCATTTAAGTTTCAGCAAATTTAGTAAGGGCAACTTTGTGTAATCTTTGGTTACAAACCCTTTTTTAAATTGTAAATTCAATTTAATGTGCACAAGTGGTGGAGCTTTAATTACACACACAAATTGCACCTTCTGTTAAATTCAAGCTTAAATAAAAAGGTTTATTTAACAATCTTTATAAGACTTTGTTATACATATTCGGATAAAGTGATAATCTGGTTTGCAAGCTAATATACTCCAAAGGACTTAGAATTAATATTTCACAGCTAAACACTATAACTAGCACCCTGCAGTCTAGAATCATTTCCACAGACAGCACGACTTCAGCTTGATGCCCCATCACAAAACTTCAAACTGCTGCAGAATCAGCAAGCTGTATGGAAAGGTTTAGGTACCTCCAGGCTAACATGAGAGCATCTTTGAAGCTAGACAGCAGCTTCAGTAGTAAGTTAGAATATAAAATTCTGGCTCCTCATTTAAGTGGTTTCACCAGGGGCCAAGCAGTTAAAGACTGCTGAATACTCGTAGTTTGTCCTGGAGTCCAACCCAGGCAAACAAGCTCGATGCAACTTTCATATTTTCCACATGTGTAGTGTGAATATGAAGCCACTTTCCCTAAGTAAAGTCCTTCTTGAAGTCATTCCTTCCCTTATGCAGATAGCCTCCATGTACTTTACAATATCTAAATAACCAGGTAATCTAATTTATGCACAATTTATAAACTAAAAACTCACTGGAAACCAATGTGTAGCCTATAAATGTTATAGGGTATAAATAGGGAGGAATATGTCAGATACAGCATCAGTAGTTGAACTGCCAGTTTTCTCTTTCTGAACTCGGATTGTCATTTGTTAAACTTGCACAATTTGCACTTTCTAGCAGAGTTTATGGAAAAGGTACAAGTGCAGATGTTAAAATTTTGATAGGTATAAAATGAGCAATATATCCACAGAGAAGGAAAATGTTTACAATTTTTGAAATTTTAAAAAAATTTTAATAAATTCTAATATAGCAGAAATAATAATAATCTTAAAATAATGTAACAATAATAATCATTTATTATATTACAAATGATTAAAATTCAGGTCTTGACAAATCACTATTTGACTTTTAAAAGTGTGTTTATTCTAAACCCTATGTTTTTTGGCTGCATTAATTGACAGTGTCAGAAGTATTGAAAATGTAATGATGCACAACTTTAATATCTGTAATTTCATTTCACAGAAAATGAATTTAAGTAAAATAACATATGATGAAATGGTGAAGATAAAAATCTGCTGTTGGGGGGGGGAATCTTAAAATTTTTGATTAATATACTTTATAAATTTTAAAAATAGCTTTTCTTATAAGGTAATAAATATTTAAGGAGTTATTTATAAAAATGAGAATACCGAAATTCGAGATGAATAATCCTCAAAAGTTTATTTGGAAATTTAAGACTCAAAATAGTTTGCACATCACTGAAGTTTCTAACAAGGTGTGTAAACTACATTTGGTGTTATCACTTATATGCCAAATGTATCCTTAATGTTTTCAAGAAAAAGTTTTGAAAATGTAAGCTGTTTGATGTTACAGGAATAAAGGTGGTAACAGCAGAAGGAAAATATTGTGAATGCACTAGGCAAGGGATTTTAAATATGCAAATTAAAAAACAGCAGCATAAGATGGTATTTTTCATAGTTAGAAATTTGCAAGCAACCTTGATTTGGAGATCAGATTTTTTTAAACTGGCTGGTGCACAAACTAATTTTCAGGAGAGGACTGTGAAATTGGACATGAAAAGGATAAAAAGAATTCAAAATTCTTTTTGACATTATTGGAAACTCAAAACTTTAGTTTTCATAACAGTAATAATAAAAGACTGAACAAAATAACAAACTGGAATCAACGTTAACTTTTTTCGTGGCCAACAGAGACAAATTTTTTTACGTCTTAAAAGCCATGAAGTGAATTATTCAGTCATAATGGAACAGAAAAATAAATCAGTTGGGTCTGCCATTTTCTGCTCTGCATTAAGTAGCAAATTTTAAATCTCCATAATACAGTAAATTTCTCTGAGTCTTATTTACTGCAGTGAACATGTCTGAGGCCACAGGAAAAATTTAAGGAAGTTCAATTCATCAGTTTTAATTTTTCTCTTTTTTTTCTTTGCTATACCAATAAAAGAAAACCAATAATGAAAATGTCTTATTGTGTATAGGGGTAGATAAGTAAGAAAAATGAGCCCTTCGCCCATACAACCACATGGCCGGCAGATGTTCAAAGGTTGCATGTAGATTATTTCAATATGGTTATGAGTAATGGTATTTCTCAGCAAAAGAAATCTCAGCTAATTAGGAGAAAACTGAAATTTACAACACACTTATATTTTCTACTCGTAAACTGAGTAAGAGAAAATTTATCTCCCCAAATACGTGTTTTGATGAAGGTCCAGATAATAAATCACTCACATTACTGGACATCCAGGTTTTGTGCTTTGCACTATACCGGCATGATTTAAAAGACAGAAAACATACTTCGTTTTTCAGGCTGCATTGAACACCTACTTAATAACGTACACTTCTTCCAAATACACTGGTAACACAGATTTTGCTTTCATCAACAATCTCTTAAGCTCTGAAACTTATCAAAATATGCTTGTCAAGATATACTATCAAGATATGCTTCCAAATGTCAACAATTCTTGGAAGAAAAAATTGGATTTTCCTACAAAGCAATGCATCTATTCACTGTTCTCATTCAACAGATAGCTGATTAGAAGCTGTGGCAGAGTATTTGCATTTAGACATTTGCATGCAGTATTCATGTTCCACTGTGCTTTACCCGTGCACATTAAAGATGGACGATCCATTCCGGAGTTGACTCAAAGAACTGATCCCTTGACTGAACGAATGATCAGCGCTCTGCCGAAAATAGAACAGTTCTTTCAGTTCACCGAGAGCTGTTGGGAAGCGTGCCAAAAATTTTATTTTTTTTTAACATAGACACTAGCAGCAGTCTTTATTTTATTATTTACCGGAAATGTCTCTAGCCTATTTTTTATGTGTGTTACATATGTATATATGTGAGCTTTTGGCTTGCTTGTGTTCCATTTAGCATTAACAAACAAAACATTAAATAAACTGACACATCTCAGAAAAAGTAATCACCCCTGTTTGCAAATGTATGGAGTTTTCTTTTTCCCATCTCGCAGTGCAAGGATCCGTTTAAAGTTACATAAATTATAGGAACTAGTTCCTCAGACCTTCAGCTCTCAACTCTCCGACACTATCTACAGTTGTGATTGGATGTGATTCCGACTTCATTATTCGCTCTTGCAAATCTAGCTAGCTCCTTGGATTCCCAGCTCTCAGCACTCTAACACTATTTGGAGTTGTGATTGGCTCTGATTCCAATGATCTTTCAAATCTAGCTCGAGTCGCGATTATTTTCTCTTTTCATATTAGGTACAGTACAAAGTCCGAGATCCGGACTCGTCAAGACTTCCACGATTCCGGATATTAGATCATTAGTTTAAATCTAGTAAGATGGCATGTAGAAATTATAAACTTAAAAATATAACATCATTCTTTATGAAATGATATACAGTCAAAAGTCTAATCCGGATGTCCATAATCCAGACCTCAAAGCTACAAACTTTCTGTGCATGCGTTAACACATAATGCATTAACGCATGTGCATAATACCTTTACGCATGCGTGTTTAATGTATAACAGAAGGTATAAGCTAAGCTAAAATTATCTAATTATCTATTTCAGTTAATGTTGCAGATTGCATTGTTCCTTAATCTTCTAATTGAATCCAGCTTATTATTTTTTCCAGACAGTTAGAACAATTTTATAAAAGTAAGCTTGAATTTTCGATTATGTCAAATAGAATTTCCGATGCTGGAGCTCCCAAAGGATCTACAAAGCGAAAGCATGTTTCTATGTCCATCAAACAAAAAGTGGAATTGCTGCAAAAAAATGGATAAATGGTTAGAGAATCATATCCTTTGATTCTCTAACCATTCCAAAATATGTTTATCAATTTCACGCTGCTCTGCGAGGGGGGGAATGAACTGGAAGTTGATCTGTCAGCACTATCCTTATCTTCAGGGCAGATGTTTTTATTTTATTCGGCTTATAATTCCTTACTAAATGTAGTATTTCATCTCGATGTACCCCATCTTCGATATGATTTAAATCAAATTCGTCATTATAAATATCACGAATACACATCAAATAGTTTTCCGGTGTCAATTTTCTAATTTTGACTATACGTAATGTATGCTTTACGCATGTGTGCATTGAGAGAAATGTTTAATAAAGTAAACGAATAAATATTAAGCCTTTTTTTTTTTTTTTTTTTTTTTTTTTTTTTTTTTTTTTTTTTTTTTTTTT